CTCTGGAGTGATGAAACCTGGGTTCAATCTGGCCGGCACAGGAAGCAATATGTCACAAGGAAGCCTGGAGAGGAGTTAGACCCTACCTGCGTGATTGTACGGCACCAGAGGAAGCGTGGGTGGATGTTCTGGGGCTGCTTTCATGGTCATGTACAGGGTCCAGGTGTCTTCTGGGAGAAGGAGTGGGGTTCAATTTCAGGATCATCATACCGTAAGTTGAGCTCTCCTGGTGCTCTTCCTATACAGATTACTTATAGATCTAACCAGGTGCGCATATTATACCTGTTCTCTGCAACTACATGGCTTCATGTCCAGGACTTATCTTCATGCAGGATAATGCTCCATCCCACAAAGCTCAGGAAACCAGAGTCATGATTCAGGCATCTGGGATTGCTGTAATAAGATGGCCAGCCTATTCACCTGATCTAAATCCAATCGAGACTGTCTGGTGTTGGATGAAAGATTATATAGAGGAGAAGACAGGCCCTAATGCTAACCTGGACTACAATGAGTTAAGGGCCATAGTACAGGAAGCTTGGGAGACTGTAGTTACGCCAGAGAGGTTGGAAGATCTCATACAATCTATGCCTGCTCGGATGGCTGCAGTTATTGCAGCAGATGGTGGTCATACAAAGTACTAAAATACACTTGGTTTTTTTCCCATACAAAACGTTAGGAAATCTGACCGCCCAGCTTTGCCTAGGCTTCTACGCCGCACACGTCACGCAGTGGCGAATGTTGAATACTTACCCCTGATACCACAGTAGTCTGGAACATCGGCCTAGGCTGGACCTGCTTTACGTGTGGCTTGGTAATACGGGACGTGGCGTCAATTTGCGGAAAGCCCAATGCAAGCCCCTGGAGCTCCCAACAAGGAAGGCCCGCGCCGAGCCATTGTGAGACATTAACTCCGGCAGCAATTCAATATCGACATCTGTCAATACCGCCTCCTCCCCACCTTAACTGCCGGCTGGTCCCTCTCTGCCGCATGACGTCCTGTACTCCATCTATGCCTTTCATATTTCTTCGCGTAGCCAATATGCGCTTTCTTTAGTCTGTACGCTGGACTTCGTCAGCTCCCAACTGCGCCTCTGAACACGCCCCGACTGCTGACAGACACCGAGTACTAAGGGCCTGACAAATCCTAATACTTTTTCTATCGTTTTGGGCTCCGCTGCGCCGACTCCGACTCCGACTGAGCCGTTATGGCTCATCCTACCGCGACAGGCGCGACCGCACACATGGCGACCACCACGCTGAAAGTCGAGGGAATGACATGCGGCGCATGCACCTCTGCGATCGAGAAGGGTTTCGAAGGGGTGGAAGGCGTAGGAGCCGTGTCGATAAGTCTGGTCATGGAGCGGGCCGTCATTCAGCACGAGCCGAATACCATAACAGCGGACCAGGTGAAGGAGATCATAGAGGACAGAGGGTTTGATGCCGAGGTGCTATCATCAGACCTCCCCATCATCGTCGAGCCCGTGGTTGACGCTTTCTTGAGTGGGTCTGAAGAGGAGGAAGCGGAAGCCGCTCTTGGTGTGTCTACTACGACGCTGTCCGTCGGAGGCATGACCTGTGGTGCATGCACGTCTGCCGTGGAGGGCGCCTTCAAGGACGTAGCAGGTATCAAATCTTTCAGCATCTCTCTCCTGTCTGAGAGGGCCGTCATCGAGCACGACACCGCCATGATCTCGGCCAAACAGCTAGCGGAAACGATAGAAGACGTCGGGTTCGACGCAAAGGTCCTGGAGACGGTCGCTCATGTGCCGCCGAAGAAGAGCAAAAGGAAACACAACAAACAGCGAATGCTCACCACGACGGTTGCTATTGAGGGTATGACGTGCGGTGCCTGCACATCTGCCATCGAGAGCGGTTTCAAGGATGTGGACGGGGTATATCAGTTCAATATCAGTCTCCTGGCGAACCGGACTGTCCTCGTCCACGACCCTGCCAAGCTGACGGAGAGCCAAATCGTCGAAATTATCGAAGACCGCGGGTTTGATGCCAAGGTCGTCACCTCTGTTGATGGCAGCGTGCAATCCTCGGCTACAAATGGCACGGCGCATCTGAAGGTTTACGGGTTGCCGGATGCGAAGGCTGGGGAAGAGTTGGAACGTTCGCTACGAGACAGGCCCGGGGTTGAGTCCGCAACCGTCAACTTCAGTACTTCTCGGGCCATCATAACCCATCAACCCAAAATCATCGGGCTGCGTGCTCTCGTCGAAGCTATCGAGGCAGCTGGCTACAACGCCTTAGTCGCAGACTCCGACGACAACAATGCCCAACTGGAGTCTCTCGCCAAAACCAAGGAGATCCAAGAGTGGAAACGCGCTTTCCAAATCTCGCTGTGCTTCGCTATTCCCGTCTTCCTTACCAGCATGCTCTTCCCAATGGCTCTCAAATTCCTGGACTATGGCAGCTTCCGGATCATGCCTGGTCTCTATCTCGGAGACGTGGTCTGCTTGGCTCTTACCGCACCTGTCCAGTTCGGAATCGGCAAGCGCTTCTACGTCTCCGCGTACAAGTCGTGGAAGCACAGCTCGCCTACTATGGACGTTCTCGTGGTCATGGGAACATCCGCGGCCTTCTTCTTCAGCATTGCGTCAATGATGGTCTCTATCTGCATGACGCCACATACCCGGCCGACAACTCTATTTGACACCAGCACCATGCTCATCACCTTTATCACTCTCGGGCGGTATCTCGAGAACCGCGCTAAGGGTCAGACCTCCAAGGCGTTGTCTAGGCTCATGTCTCTGGCACCTTCCATGGCCACAATCTACGCCGACCCCATTGCTGCTGCGAAGGCTGCCGAGGGTTGGAGCCTATCTGATGATGATGAAAAAGATCGCAAGATCTCCATGGATGGCGGTAGTGCAATTGAAGAGAAGGTTGTTGCCACTGAGCTCATCGAAGTTGGCGATGTGGTTATTCTCCGCCCCGGAGACAAGACCCCGGCTGACGGAACCGTCATTCGTGGGGAGTCTTATGTCGATGAGAGTATGGTCACTGGGGAGGCTATGCCGATTCTCAAGAAGAAGGGTGCCCTGTTGATGGCTGGTACTGTCAACGGAGCTGGACGCCTTGAATTTGTTGTCACCCGTGCCGGCCGTGATACGCAGCTAAGCCAAATCGTTCGCCTGGTCCAAGAAGCACAAACCAGCAGAGCTCCGATTCAACGTCTCGCTGACACCGTCGCTGGATACTTTGTCCCGATTATCATTACTCTTGGCCTCGCGACGTTCGTTGCTTGGATTGTGCTCAGTCATGTTTTGCCACACCCTCCGAAGATCTTCCTCGACCATGCCAGCGGTGGGAAGCTCATGGTCTGCGTCAAGCTTTGCATTGCCGTCATTGTCTTTGCATGCCCTTGTGCTCTAGGCCTTGCTACGCCTACCGCCGTCATGGTGGGTACAGGTGTGGGCGCGGAGCAGGGCATCCTTGTGAAGGGAGGAGCTGCTCTAGAAGTCGCTACGAAGGTCAACCACGTCGTCCTCGACAAGACGGGTACTCTCACTGTCGGCAAGATGAGCGTCTCGAAAACCGATATCCAGGGCGAATGGGCAAACAACAAGAACCTCTGGTGGACGCTCATTGGCCTGGCGGAAATGAGCTCGGAACACCCCATTGCCAGGGCCATTGTGCGTTCAGCAAAGGAGCATCTACGACTGGGTGCTGATGGTACTCTTGACGGTACTGTTGGAGACTTTGAGGCTGCTGTTGGCAAGGGTATTGCTGCGAATGTTGAAGCTGCCTTAGCACGACAGCGCCACCGCTACCGGGTCCTGGTCGGGAATGCCTCTTACCTCATGTCCCAAGGAATCGTTGTTCCCGATGTCGTCGATGTACCGCTCACAACCAGTGGCACCACGCCTATTTCACGTTCCACTTCTCAGACCCGTTCCGCCGGCATCACTACCATACATACGGCTATTGACAAGACATACACTGGCACCCTTAGCCTCTCTGACACCATTAAGCCTTCCGCACGCGCGACTATCATGGCCCTTCGTCGACTTGGTATCACCGCCTCGATCGTCACTGGAGACACTTCTGCGTCGGCCCTCGCAGTCGCAGAGCAAGTTGGCATCGATGTGGCGGATGTACATGCTTCTGCCACACCACAAGATAAGAAGGCGATTGTCGAGCATCTGAAATCGCAGGGGTATGTTGTCGCCATGGTCGGTGATGGCATTAATGACTCTCCTGCCCTTGCCTCAGCGGACGCAGGCATCGCTCTATCAACAGGCACCGACGTCGCGATGGAAGCCGCATCTATTGTGCTCATGTCGAATACGGATCTTCTCGCTATCCCGGCAAGCTTGGTCCTGAGCAGAGCCATCTTCAGACGCATCAAGCTGAACCTGTGGTGGGCATGTTTGTATAACCTCTTTGGCCTGCCATTCGCCATGGGTTTCTTCCTACCTTGGGGCTTGTCCCTGCATCCTATGGCAGCCGGTTTGGCCATGGCCTGCTCATCCGTCAGCGTGGTTACCAGCTCCTTGCTTCTCAAGCTCTGGAAGCGCCCGAAGTGGATGAAGGTTTCGGTTCTGGATCCCACGGCCGAAGTTCCAGAGAGCGAAAAGGAGGCGGAGAGAGTGCCCAGCGCTGGCATTGTCCAGTCTGCGATTGATTGGGTGAAGGATAGTTTGGCGGCCAGGAAGAGAAATAGGGAGGAGGTGGGATATGTGCCGCTGCATGATATGGGCGAGTAAAGGGACTCGGGGTCGATGGACTACACAGTTGTTTTTCTTTGTCTTTGCTTGCATTTTTCTAGGATACCTCCATCGCGTTTGAGTTTGTTGTCCCGCTTGTACATGCTTTGCTGGAGACTCTGTATATAGTCTATTCATGTCCAATTTGAGTTTACCCCGTCCATAACCGGTATCTTCCTCCAGTCGCGTGGTGAACTACCCAAATAGGGATAGACAGCATATCAAAAAATAGAACTCTTGGCGGATGTCGTCACCTCGGTCGCTCACCCGTTTGAGACTCCCAGGTATGTGTATCTTTTCGCGGCCTCATTGGAAGTCCATTCTTTTCCACATGTCATTTTGACGAGCTCTTACTCTTTTTTCGAAGCCCATCCGGCGATGGCCGACCTTTGCATCCACCGGAGGGACGACGGAAGCTTGGTGCGGACAAAAGCGCATTCCAAGTTTTGGTCCGTCGGGTGCTCCGAGACCTGTTCCTGACTTACAAGTAGTGGCGCAACGGTGCAGGCCCACCACTGCCGCGGTACCTCGGAGTCCATGTGCATGTCGTCAGAGCCACCAATTCTCTCTCAATTTACTGATGCATTATCCCTCTTTGCGCTGTCTTGATTCCTCTCCAAACTGTCGCTCGTAGGAACTCTGCAATCTGCCTTGAGGCGGCGTGTCCCATCCAGAATGACCTGGCTCCACCAACTCAACCCAACACCTGCGTTTCCGCCATACACGGGCCGTTATAAAGTAGGAACTGTGGATGTGGAGATACCAGTAGCGGAACTAGACTCGCCGTCGCCTGCGCCCTCGTCTGCTTCGGATCTCTCCACAGTCGCCTTCCGCATTTTCTACCCTTGTCACCCGGATTCGCAGCAGAGAAATGTACGGTGGATACCCAGTCCGCAGAGGGAGTATGTTGGAGCATATGCGAGGTTTCTAGGCGCGAATGGCGCTTTCTCCCAATTCTTCTCGTACGTTTGATTTGAAGACATGGATAAGGATCTTGCGCTGACTTTGTGTCCAGGCTGATCCCCCAGATTCTGTACTATGTTTCCATACCCGCACACCAGAACGCCCATGTCCTCGAACCCCAGACAAGTAACCGGAGATGGCCGGTTATGATATTCTCGCATGGCCTTGGAGGGTCTCGGAACGCATACTCGCACATCGTTGGATCGCTGGCTAGCCATGGCATGGTCGTCATAGCACCGGACCACCGAGACGGCAGCTCGCCGATTTCCTTTGTGCATACACCTGGCGAGAAAGAGGAGCTGAAGCGGGTGGAGTACAAGAAGATAGCGCACAAAGCCTCTACCGAGGTTTACGAGAGTAGGGACGAACAACTGAGGATTCGGCTGTGGGAATTGGGACTGATCCATGACGCACTCTTGAAGATTGACGAACGGGTGGCGTTGAGCAATGTGGCCGAAGACCATAAGAAACATGGCGGACTGACAATGTTCGCGCACAAACTCAATGTGCACGAACCGGGCTCGATATCCTTCGCGGGCCACTCCTTCGGTGCCGCCTCAATGGTTCAGTTCATCAAATCGATCTACTACCGCCCTGACTCCCAGGAACCCGGTTATAAGCCACTCTTCACGCCCTCCAGCTCATCCCCCCTCGTACGACAAGTAACTCCCACCACTCCAGTCATCCTCCTCGACCTCTGGACCCTCCCCATCCAAAGCCCCGCAACAGCCTGGCTGCGAAACCATCCCATGCCCTGCTACGACTCGCCCACCACCGGAGGAAGCAACCTCCTCTCCATCCTCAGCGACGCCTTCTTCAAGTGGAAAGCAAACCTCGAGGAAACGAAACACATCGTCGCCAAACCGGCCGGAGCCGACCCCAACCAGCCCGGCCCGCACCTCTTCTACCCCATCGCCTCGGCGCACCTGTCGCAGTCGGATTTCGGCGTCCTGTTCCCTTGGCTGACCACCAAAGTGTTTGGCGCCAAGGAGCCCGAACGGGTGCTGAAGCTGAATGTGCGTGCGATCCTGCAGGTGCTGAGGAATGGAGGGGTCGAGGTGGCGGATACGAGTATTCGGGATATGGAGCTGGATGAGGAGGATGCGGCGTCGCGGAAAGTGCTTCATGATGAACGCATCCTGAGTAGGAAGAAGGATAGTGTAAGGGGGTGGGTGTCTCTGACGACAGAGCCGGAGCCGGAGCCGGAGGCGGATCTGACGAGGGAGAAGGGACCTGTGGATGCGGTGGTCGAAGGAGAGGTGTTGGGGGAGACAGTGCAGGAGTCGCAGAGGTGAGGGGTGGTTTAAATGAGTGGGGTCTTCTTGAGAGAGCCATGTTTGGCTATGGCTATTTCCTGTACTGTGTATTATAAGCGTTAGAGGTCTTGAATGACGCGATATCACTCTCTAAGATGCAGCTGGACAAGATTTGCGTTTTGAAATATGCTTCGCCTAGTCTATCGTGCGAAGACTCTATACATAGTGCTCGAGTTCTCCCCCAACCTAACCATATGCATTTACAATTGCCGGTTCGGATCAATCCGCCACGAAAGACAATTATTCGATACAACCCCACCCTCCTTCCCATTGACGCCTCCGCAGTTGCACGAATCCGTCGGCACCCTTAAGTACCTCCTGCACTCGTCGTAGTCGTACGCCCACACACATCCCTCAGCGACCTCGAGCGAGATCTTGATCTTAACGGTGCCAATACCTCCATTGTAAGGAAACGGATACTCATTCGATTGGAAGAAATTCTCGATCAGAATGTCCCCCGCCTCGCCGACGCCCTTGCAGAAGCTGTTGGCCGCGTTTTCCATGCGCACGCGCTCCGTCGTCTCGCCGCTGTTGTAGCAGTGGACTTCGTTTTGCATGGGGTCGCCGTGCTCGTAAGGGGACGGGGTGGGTTCCTGGATTTTGCTGGTGGGAGTTGGGCGCGTCGATGTGGATGATTGCGAGCGCGGACATACGGTTTGCAGGTCCTCCCAGTTTTCATCGTCCGGGTCAAAAGAGGAGCCGCCCGCGGAGCCGGAGCCCGTCTCGTTGTTGCCGCCGTACAGCCACGGTTTGTCGACGAAGCAGAGGGTATCGAAGTAGGCGCACTCCGGGACCATGGGGGACTCTTGGTCGCCCATGTGCGGTATGATGTCGCGTTTGGGCCAACTTCCCTTTGCTGGGGGAGGTGCGCCAGGGCCAATGGAAGCCGGTGGTGGTGGGAAGGCGACGGTGGGCGCGGTTGTCGTTGGCCTTCCGTCCGGGCCCGTGTACACGACCGAGGGCCAGAAGGGCGTGGTTGCGGGAGTGGGCATGAAGGCCTCGAAGCCTTGACGTTTGAGCTTTCCGTTGCTGCTGCTGCCCTGTGTCAGGGTCACGACGTCGAACATCAGGTCCGTGATGGTCAGCGGCGCCTTGGTGATGGTGCTCGTCCATGTCCCCTCGCTGACGGTGAGCAAGGGGTAGTCGACGGTACGAGTGGCGCCCGTCCACGGCGGTATCTTGACGTGGCACGGCGGCGAGCACGTGAAGGCTGGCTGCTCCATATCCCAGATGCTGGGGTGGACCCAGGACAGTTCCTCAAACTGTGCGCCGTCGCTGGCGACGTCGAGGACCGAGACCTGCGACCACTCGGGATGCGTGTCGACGTTGAGATTGTCCGTGGCAAGGATGCCTTTGCCATTCATGACGGCCATGTATTTGGCGCCGATGGTGATGAGGTTCTGGATGCGGATGTTGGCGCCATTGGAGTCGAGGAGCACAAGTGCCTTTTGACAGGCTTGTAGGTCGATGCAATCCTGTGTGTAGGTCGAGAACCAGCTGTAAAGGCCAGCGGCAGCAACGAAGATATTCTGCGACTCGCGGATGATGACAGCCCAGGACTCATCGCAGCCGTTGAAGTCGTCGCCGGCTGCGCAGTCGTAGTTGGGATCGCCAACGAACTTGCCAACCACGGCATCGAAGGGCGCGGGCGGCGGTGGTGTGGGCTGGTAGTAAGGCGACTCCGTTTGTATCATGCCGGCGAAGATGTTCTTCGCCTTGTGGAAGTTGTACTGGTAGAAAACGGCATGCTCGGACGCAGTTCCATACATCCTTGAAGTTAAGGTTAGTTAGTTACGCCGTGTTAGGGCCTCAGGTCGGACTTCCGTACCAGGTAGGCTTTGTGCTCTCGACTAACAATCCGCGTGCCACATATATAGACGTTTGCACCATGGGATCGCTAGGATCATCCAGATCGGGATCACTAGTATAAAGAGTCAATCTCCGACGCCGCCAAGGTGTGTAAAGGGTATACTCACTCAATCATATGATCTGCGACCCAGAGCCGGACTTTGTCAGGTGCATCATCAGGCTGGCAGCATTACATCCGGTATTTGTCCTACTTGTCACGGGCGGGCACTCGGCGGGCGTTAACTCAGTTCCCGTGGCACCGCCAATGCGGACATGACAATCCCACATTCCGGCCGACCCAGCATTAACAGCCTCAATGTTCCACTGCACAAGGATTGCGCCAGCGGTCGGCCCGCGGGTTGTGAAGATGATGTCCTGCATCTCAACGTTACCGACATCGCCTTCCTTGCCGACTCGAATCATGACTTTGGGGTTGCTGCAGTCTTGTTAATAGGGAAGTGTGTCTACCTCTCATGGGCGACTTACTTTGCGTCTTGGAAATACGATCCCGAAGCGACGAACTGCGACCACGTCTCACCCACGATCTTGGACCCCGGCGGTACCATGACAGTAGAGGTCAGGATGTACGAGCCCGCGTCTACGAAGAGAATCTTGCCTTGGGCTGCGTACAGGGCCAACTGGACTGCCGCCGTGTCATCAGTCACCCCGTCGCCTGCCGCACCGAGGTCTTTGAGGTGGATGAAGTCGCCGACGCTGCGGTCGTCATACTGCGGCTTGGGACGCTCAAAGTACATCCCGTTAGCATCGAGAAGGGTCGAGTGCCGCTTAAAGTGTCCGATCTTGCTACCTTGGGAGTAGCTACGTGCTGTGGTCGAACCTTCATAGATGGGGCCGAGGGTCCACTGGTCTACCTTCGCCGTCGATTTATCCAGAAGGACTGCTCCGCTTGTGTCTTTGACGGCGGCAGCCACGCCTGAAAAGGATACTTTGTCGAGAACGATCCCGGTACTGCCTGTGGCGGGCCTGCTAGAAGGAGGCGTGATGATGACGGCGGCAGTGCCAACGTTGCTGAAAGACGAGTCCATGATAGTGACGGAGCCGATGTTTCCTGCACCGTTATCAGAGACGAGTTTGAAACCAACATCGACGTTGGTCATGGTTACGGATTTCCAGACCCAGCCCCAGTCCCAGATGACTTGGACGCCGGTCGTGCAGCCGTCGAATGTGAGCCTCTGGGCCGTGAACTGCTGTTCGCCGCCGTAAAGCCCAATGGCTCCACCGCGGAATACGACGTCACTGATTTGGCCTCCGCTGCCGTTCTCGGCAAAAATTCCTATCTGCGACGATCCAGGTGCAGCGATGATTTCGAGGTTCTGCGTGCTGGTCGCCTGTGCGACCTGGTAGTGCAGACCTGCGCACGTTTGAGGCCCTTGACACCGTCTGATATCTATGATGACGTTGCGGATTTGGCGGTAGAAGTTGGCGGTGTTTATAAACCACTCTTGGTCGGAGCCGTTGGGATCGGAATGACCAGTGTACTCGTCAGTTGACAGAACGCCGAGCCCAACGAAGCTTGCGGCAGCCAGCAGTGTTGTCCGGTCGATGGCATCGCCGATGACCTGTGTTCCAAAGGGCAGCGGTATCGTCGAGGAAATGAGATACGTGCCCGGGGGGAACTAGACGATGGCGTTCTTAGTGGTAGAGCCGTTGCATTTTTCTCCGCATCGGTTGCCAGAGGTAATGGCTTTGTTGATAGCGTCGGTATCATCCTGTATACAGCGTATCAGCGCAACCATTTCCCCCGGCGATAAAAGATTGGGTACGGCAGGACTTACAGTGACACCGTCACCAACGGCTCCATAATCGAGAACATTCCGGAAGACTTTGTAGTTAGGATCATTGCCCCAGGGGACAGTACCCTTGCGCCCAAGGCTTCCCATCCAGTATGACCCGGAAGCTGCCACGGCTCGCCTAGTCATATTTCCGACCGCTACGGCGCCGTCTGCTTCGGCGACGAGGGCAGCGGCTTTGGCGATCTCATCTGTGATCTTCAACAGAGGGGGAGAGTTGCTTGTCGAATTCCCTGTCGCGATGCGGTTGGCTTTGCTTCCCGCATTGGGGCCGCGGTGGTTGCGTCGAGATTGAGCCAAACGAGCCTTGTTGAGCCGGGAAGATTTGAGGATGGCGTCCTTCACGATCTTCCGCGCACTGGAAATATCTTGATCGGTGGCCCTTTTCAAAAGCGGCGTGATGCTCGGATGAGAAGCCTTCTTGGAGAACCTTTCACCCAGTGCATGACCGTGACCGTGACCGTGACCGTGACCACGGCTCTGGCGATGTTCCTCTCTCCTTTCGAGGTCATCATCCTGCCACCTAAGGCTGCTGTTCAGCCCCAACTCTGGCATCGTGGTGAAACCTGCAAGACCAGTCCAGGTGGCGGTGTCATTGGCTGGGACGACCGTCTCGTGTCCCAGTCCAGCTTCGATGTGTGCTTTGATCTCCTCGTAAGTAACTTTCGGCCAGCGACGCATTCCGCGGGTTGAATTGGCGCCCTCGAAACCAAACAAGTCACGACGGCTCAAGCCTTGTGAAATCGGAATGTTCCGATCAGGGTTCGAGTGGTCCACAGCACTATAGCTCCAGACCCGGGATGCAACATTATCAGGCACATTGGTCATGGTGAAAAAGAACAATACGACACTCTTTTTCTCGTCGAACCAATGGAATTCAGTGGCCCTCTGTTCAACCAATCTCTGCAGCTCTCTGCGCAGCGCTCCGTGGGAAGACGCTTGCCGTGCATCCGTATGCATCAGTCAAACATGCTAACAAATGACGGAGAGGGCTTTTTCAGCGAACATACAGTCTTGCTCGGCCTTGCAACCTTCGCGGCATCGCATAGCGGCGCAGCGTGTCTGCGCTGGCGTGTTTCCATCCAGACCATTTCCGCCCTCCACCCACGTAGCGGGGGGAAATTCATCGCAAGTGTACCTTACCTTGGAGTCTTCGGCAGCGCTGAGAGGAGTCGCTGGTCTATTCATGATTTGATTGACTCTAGTCCCTGGCTCGAGCTCGGTAGTAAGCCAGGGACCGTCGTGTCGCATGACTGTCCGCTGGTCCGCTTCTGGGCACTTGTGCGAGGTTTTCCAAGAGCGTGGGCACGACTGCTTTCTTCTCTGAGAGGCATGCGTGGTGCTTTCTCTGCCGCTGTTGAAATCGTAACCGTAGACGTGCTGTGCTATATCGCTCTTCGGATGCGGATATATGCCGCGTGGTGTGTTTTCGAAATTGTAGGCGTTTTTGCAGATGTCCTTCATGTAGTGGCAGTTGTAGACCAGCCACACGCTTTCGTGGCCCAGGTCGATCACCTGCTCGGGAACATCGTTGTACGTGGCCTGGCTGGAGAACCATAGTCAGCGAGATGCACCGCTGCGCGGAGGTATCTGTTTTGCAGTCCATACTAGAAATATGCTTGGACCGTGCCGGCACCATTCGGATTGGGGATCTGTTGATCAATGTAATCCTGCAGATATTGCGCCACAGCAACGTAGCATAACTGAAAAGAGAGAAGCAGTGTCCATTTGGACATGGTGTGCTTGAAGGAAAACCTGGCGTCGGGCCAAAACAGATAATGAGTAGATAAAACCCAGTTGGACGGACAGGAAACGAGAGGAAGAGCCTTCGAGGCTTGAAAGACCAGCAGTGAGCATGTGGGCAACACCTAAAATATAGTGTTTCCTATGGGGCTCACCCACATGTCTACACCTTGCCAATAGCATTCGCAAAAGCTTCCCTTTCTGCAATATGCTGGACTGGTATCCACGAGACATGGTAATCCCTGTTACTGCAGGATTATTGTAATGCAACTTGCTCTATCCGGTCATTGGGATATCTTGTCGGACGGCTGGAACGAGAGTACCCTTAGGTCTGTTTTTAGGAGGAAAGCCCGAGATTGGCCTCGTATTGAGCTGAGACGGGAAGAAGACTACCGAGCTTTCCTTACCAACTGCATCTCGACCGTGGAATTCTGGACACCGGGGATGGGGCCTGGAACATAGGTGTCTCCTGATTGCATTGCGCCTCTGTCAGATGCTTGACCATGAGACAGACTGGGGTTCCAGACATGGCTCCATCGATGACCGGATGGATTTGGTGCGCCTCGATTAATCCTAGCGGTGTGTACCGTACTCCATATGTAGATGTCCAATTTCCGGTATCAATGGATTTACTACCGTTCTTACTCAATAACAGTTATCGAATACCCCTTAGTTATCGTTCTCCCCAGTTCAGCCCTTAAGCGAGCCAAATTTTGGTGGGGAGATAACTAAGGGGTGCTCGGAAACTGATAGATAACCCATGGTAGCGGTTACTGTGCACCTAGATCCAATTTAGAGAATGGGCTGGAGCATGCACGATCCTGTCTCCATATCCATGGCCCCTGGGTCACGTCCCCGTAGGGTAGAACCAGGGTCTTGTGGAGTATGCCTTGTAACAGGGTCTCTTGGAGTAGGCCATGTAAGAGACGGCATTGTAGCACTTCGAGTTGAGAATTTATTGCGCGAAACTGATTAATGGTTTTCCTGTTTGGTACGCCATGCACGCAGTCGATGGTTTAGGGGGATACAACGGCGGTCATCTATCGCTCATTCTGTTACCTCGGCCGGTCCCATCTCCTCGTTCACGCCATAGAGATCTTCTGGGAACTGGGTCTAAGTCCCGTGTCAGATTTAGGACACCCGATTTTGGATAATGGGTTACCTGCAGGTCACATCTAGATGCGAGCTTGTTAGTGTGCCCACCCTGCAGGAAGCCTCTGCAGGTACCCCGGGACACAAGTCCGTACACGTCGAGAAGAGGTTCGTTTTCGCGTATGTGTCTGAAATTGGCTTCCACTCAAGAAAGGCTTGGAGAGATGGGGCCGAAACCATGGATGGTATGCGGTGAGTGTGAAGTAAAGATTCAGAATTGACTTGGCGCTAGGATGTTACTAGCGCCGGCTACCCCATGGGCATGTTCTTGGGTACCTAGGTAGATTTGCGCTAGGGGGACGTCTGACACTACCCTAGATACGTTCCCTCATCACTACGGTAGAACGGACCCTGCATTATCGTATTCCTACGAACAGCCTGATGTTTGTAGACTCTACCTTGCAGAAAACAGGGCTTATGTCGTCAGCCCATGCTTCTGTGCGGAACAACGGAATTGATGCCGTATTGGAAGTCAGTGGACCTGAAGGTTCATGGTGTTTGGAATTGGGGATTTATGCACTTAATCACTCCGCACCCCGAGTCTTTTCACTGCCGTTACGCCTATTCCCTCCTTCATTTCGTACTGCTGACCGTGGGAATTCAGTATGGTTTCTAGGCTGTCAATTCACTCGCTGTCAACTCACTCGCTCCCTTGCCTTCTATCTCTTCTTTTAACTCTTTCTCTGAGTCCACTCACAGCAACGGCAGCTGATGAGTGTCAACCATCCACATGGGCGTCAGCTGGCCGCATGCGTCGGGCCGTGGTCACACCAACCGCAGTTGCCAGCTCAAGCCTGACTGTGGCAAACGTGGGCACTGTCGAACCGGGGCAGATAAACTGCCAGTATTGGGCAACCACAAAAAGCAGCGTCAACTACTACACATGCACTGATCTCGCCGAAAAGTACGGGATTAGTGTCGAGGTGTTCTTTCAGCTCAATCCTGAGGTGGACGCCGGTTGTGGAAACATCCAGCCGAAAACGAAGTACCGGGTTGAAGGATGTGAGTCTCCAAACCGGTTGATAGTGTGAAAGGGCGACAAACTCACCAGCATTCCTTTTCTATAGTCATCGAGCCGCCAAGAGCCACTGAAGGTCTCTGCGGGCCGCCGAATAATAATGCTACTTGTCTTGGTACCGAAGTTCAGTGCTGCAATTCAGAGACGTGGACTTGCGGAGATGCTGAGTGAGTTAATATCAACCCTAGCCTTCACAGTTCGCGTATCTTTCAATCTGGCGAGGATTGTACTGATCCCATATTTCCTTGCAGGGAGGACTGTGCGCCTGACACCTGTTACGAAGGCGCATGCGTTGGTGACACGGTCTACAGCACTGATGGAACCTGTGGGTATCAGCATGGAAACCGCCTTTGCGCTGGAAAATGGGGGGACTGCTGCAACATAGAAGGAGCATGCGGCACCGGGTCTGAGTTTTGCGGTCTCGACGTGTGCCAGTCCGGCAATTGCACAAGGCCAACTACACCGACACCGAGTTCGACGCCGTCAGGAGACACACCAGATGGAACATGCGGAGGAACAAAGGGTTACGTCTGTAACGTCGTATATGGCAAATGTTGCAACAGAGACGGTTTCTGCGGTGTTCTGCCATCTGACTGTGGATCTGGCTGGTAAGTCGTAGCCCTCAGTTTTCCAGACGATGTTTTATTGGACTTGTAGCTGACTTGGTATGCAGTCAACCAGAGTTCGGAGAGTGCTCGTCGAAGTCATCTTCACGGACCACGATGAGCATACCTGTCACTTCCTCGCGATCATCCGGTACCACACGATCCAGTCTTCCCACTACAACTCCAAGCAGTACCAGGACACCTTCGTCTACGGGCCGTACCACGAGAAGCGCCACAGTAACAGGAATCTCTTCACTTCCTTCCTGTGGACAAACCTGCTTCAAAAATATGCTCGCCCCATACTCGGCATTGGGTTGCGCCTCCCCCGACCCGGCCTGCCTCTGCAGAAACGTCAATTTCAGCTATGGAATCCGGGACTGTTCGAATGGAGCCTGCGGTACCCAAGTAGCCAGTACTGTGATTGCCTTTGGGTCCTCGTACTGTTCGTCTGCAACTGCTATACCCACCCCTACAGTGAGCGGTATAGCTGGTCTCCTTTCTTGTGGGCAGACATGCTTCAACAACATGATGGCACAGTACTCTGCGCTTGGATGCGCTAGCCCTCAGCCTGCCTGCCTCTGCCGTAATGTCAATTTTGGATATGGCTTGCGGGATTGTTCGAATGGTGCTTGTGGTCCCGCGGTCGGCAGTACGGTGATTTCCTTTGGAAGTTTGTTCTGTGCGTCGGCAACTGCAGCCCCTTGAGTAAATTATTCATGGACAACTGTACAGAGACTTCGATGTCTAGTCATGTAGGACTAGTGTGCTTTGACTGGGTCAAGTGAGCAGACATAGTAATGGATACAATAAATACACACGGGAAAGTTTTGATGTTCGTCTGTGAATATCTCGAACTACCTAGGTACTGTACCCCGTATGTGGGACCCAGATCGAGTTTTCGGTGCTCTTGTAGGGTTTGCCGGAATAGGGTTCCTCGCAGGGGACTGCATTTAACCGATTGTCTCATTTGCGGCGACTTGGTTTGAAGGTGGCTGGGTTGGCATCCTAGGAGTCGCGTGACCTTTTGTATGAAGCCTCCCTCCAGCCTCCACAGTGAATGGGCCCTCACTCAAACACCACTCGACACTACCTTCACCCATCTATCCTATCATGGCAACCACCTCGTCCGCGAGCAACTGGAAGGTCCTCAAAGACGGGCAAGGCAAGCCCTTCTACTTCAACTCCATCACCCGCAAAACCCAGTGGGACCCCCCATCAGAACAGCCCTCACCTCACTACGATACCCCGCCCTCGTATGAAACCGCGACGAAAGACGGCCATACCATCCATCTCACCCATGACGCCCAACGCCTCTACTGGCCTGTCGAGGGATCTTGGGAAACCGCAATCCGCGTCATGCAACATGTCCATTACGATCCTAGCGTCCCCCTCGGACCCTATCTGCATCAAGAGACGGCGATTTTGCAATCTCCCCTCACAGAACCCAAGATCTCATCCGTGACGGTGCGCGTCCAGCAACTTGAGTGCTGGGAAGACGAGTGGATGGAGGTGCATGGCGAGCACGACGACCCTGGAGAAGATGGAATCGGCGAGTGCGGCAATGCTGTGTTTGGCCCACTCGACGATTACGACCCCGATTCTGACGGTGAGGGTTTGTCCGTCGGTGGATCCGACGACGAAGAAGAGGAAGAAGAACACGAGCGGCAGACACTACACAAGGAAAAGAAATTCGTGCATCTACTCCGGTGCTGCGGCGCAGATCGCCCACGCAAGAAAAAAGCTTCTCTGGTCGTAAAAGCCTCTGGCGAATACCTCACCATTCACGACTATGTTGTAGCGGTCCATCCCTGGCTGCTCCGTCTGCGTGATGACATTCTGGCGGCATCAGGAGATCTTCTGGACAGTAAGCCGTTACCTGCGGACACAAAGTTGGTCGTCTGGTACGGGCTAGCGGAGGTTGACGTTTTGGAGGATAAAGAGTGGCGCACGATGAAGGCAAAGTGGCCGCTTAAGAAGCAGCCTAACTTTGGAGCTGCTAGCGACAGCCTGCCTTCTATTACAGGGAGAAGCGAGGTTTTAGCGTCTACGTTAGAACACTACCCTTAACATTAGTAAAGATAACCTAGAAGCAAGAAATATATGTAAATTAGTAGTAGTACTGTTAAGTATATAGTGTTATAAACTAAGCTATTATAGCTAGATACAGATAGCTAGGGCTAGAAACGGTGATGTTGTTGGAAAAGGATTGCGGGAAAATACCGCCAAGCTTCCCTAGTCGGTGGTCATTGTTCTTTTGTCAGATTTGATGGTATCTGAAGATGTCATGGTGACAGAAAGATTGATTGAAGATGGGTTGACTGATTGTATTCAGGTGTGTGCCTGTGTATGTGAGGCTGAGGCCTGACACCGGTTTTGATGTTCCTTCTCTGGGCACCAAGGCTGTGCAGGGCACTAGCCACTACAGAATCACTAGCCACATGTCCTCAGACAGTACCGGTACAGACACCTTCTCCCAGTCCTCCTCTCCAGACCCAGATGGGATGTCCATAAACTGGCTTACCATCTGACATCTTTATTCTCCTTCCGCCGTGGCGAGCGACGGTTCATATTCGTATGCGTAGACATCTCTTAGGCTGTGGTCCCCATGTGAATGAACGGCGGGCGCGTTTTCGGAAGGAGGTTGCAGGCACCAGAGGCTGCTGGAGTCGCAGCCAGACGAGATGCCAGGGATGCAGAGCGAGAGCACAGTAGAGAGTAGGAGGATCGCAGAATGCTATGGTGGACTATTAGCAGATGTAGTACCAAAATTCAATTGCTCGGTGAACCTGCAAAACCTACGTACATGCAGCATAGTTCCTAGCCTACTTACACAGTATCTATATGCAGTGTACATAGGCAGCAAGTACGCAGAGCAAGTACATAGAGCAAGTACGCAGAGCAAGTACGCAGTATCTATATATATATGACCTATCTACCTATGCCTGCCTACCTATACTATCCGTCTGTCTGTCTAGCTACCTCTCTATCTGCCTCTCTGCCCGCACCTGTCTGCCCGCATCTGTCTGTCTGCACCTGTCTGCCCGCACCTATCTGCCTGCACCTGTTTCTTTAGACCTGTCTTCCTATATTTGCTTACTTATACTACTTCTGCCTATACTTACTTATACTTGCTATTTTATATATCTACTATATATAAGTAGGCTAGAAACTATACTGCGTGTATATACGTTTGCAAGTTCTCTACGCAATTGAATTTTAGCACTACACCTGCCAGTAGTCCACCGTAGAATGCGCGACTGGAGGAGATTGAACGATGTCGGGGTCTCAGGCATCCAGCCACGCCGTGCCTGCTGCTAGTGCCGCCAGGCATTACTAAGTTACCACCAGGCATTACTAATGATTTGCATCGCGATCTTCAGAAAGCGTCTTTGCTACATAGGTAGTATTTTGTTAAAAGAAGCCCTCGGACCGGATTTTCACGCACATTTCCCCAAGAGTTACAGACTAGCGGATGAGAGCTCATGGTACGACAGCCATGGAATACAAAACGATCGAAACAACCGTCCTAAGGGTCGCCTACTACGAGTACGGCCCACAAGATGGATGGGCTGTCATTCTCTCCCACGGTTTCCCGTATGATATTCACGCCTACGATGGAGTCGTACCTATTCTCGAAAAGAGCGGTGCTCGGGTCATAGTCCCGTACTTGCGAGGCTTTGGTCCCACACGCTTCCTGTCATCAGCCACCGTCACCATGCGATCGGGACAGCAAGCAGCGCTAGGCTCCGACCTGATCTCTTTGCTCGACGCGCTCGGCATTGATAAAGCGGTGCTCGCTGGATTCGACTGGGGTGGTCTGGCATCTTGCGTCGCGGCAGTCCTCTGGCCAGAGAGGGTTGCTGGGCTTGTTTCTTACGCTGGATACGATGTGTACAATAGAGTCATCAATCGGAGCCCCAATGATCCCGAGCTAGAATGCGTCCAGTGGTATCAGCACCTCTTCCAAAGCGAAAGAGGGCGGGAATGCCTGTCCCAACACCGGCATAAGTTATGCAAAATGCTGTGGCGGCAGTGGTCACCAACATGGAATTTCAGCGACAGAGAGTACGATCAGACAGCAACTTCATTCGACAACCCTGACTTTGTGGACATCGTTGTTCACGCCTACCGCCATGCACACGGTACGGCAAATGGCGATCCAGCTCTGCAGGATCTAGAGGAGAAACTAGCGGCAAGACCCAAGATTATAGTGCCGGCTGTCACCTTGGATGGCACAAGGGACCCACTGAAGCCAGGTGGCACGGCCGCACATGGCGAGATGTTCCAGGGAAGGCATGAGCATTTCGTGTATGATGTGGGGCATGCTTTCCCCTTGGAAGCTCCAGAGGCCTTTGCAGAGGCGATTCTGTTGGTGCATAAGTGGATGTCGCATGGTTCATCGAGCAGCAAATAGGGGATTTCCACCATGAGCGATAAACCACTTACACGGGGTGTGTTAATAGTCTCTTCACGCTCGATGTCTCTAGGCATATGCGAACAAGCCAGACTGTAAAGAGTTTCAGGTCCAGTTCTGGATTTCAAGTCGATTCAATAAGTTTACTTTAAGCTATTGTGCCTAGCACAGAATGACATCAACCCCTTGTCGAAATCGAGTTCTTGCTAGGATGGCGGATTTCTTGCCAAGCCAATATTCGACTTGCTCGGTTTACACAGTAGAGTGAAGGATCCTATCAGGAAGCGTATCTAGGCTATCGCATCTCCGCCGATACCATCCTCTCTTTTGGGCCGCCTGCTGGGATTCTGCTTGCCGCAGAATTAACGGAAGACTTTAGTTTCGTGGGTATGCAGCCTGGAACCATCCTCCTTACCCTACTAAGTTTGAAACTAGAGTGTGTGAGAAGGCATTAGCAACGGCACGACGTTACTCGTAGAGGATTGCTATGTACGGCGGCTTTCGTACCCTAGGGTACAGACTATAAAGTCTAAGGCAGGACGTTGGAGCGAGTAGGGCTAGAGCTGCGGGGGACTAGTACAGCTATTGTAGAGCTCATCGCTCGCGGGCATAATGCTCCTATTAAAGGTGCGGGAGAGGGATGTCCTTAGTAACACTGTACTAGAGAATATAATCGCGGTGGAGAAGAGGTTAGAGGAGCTAAGCAAGGCTACTATCTAGGAGGCAGAGTTATAGGATTAGACTTTACTAAACTAGCAAGTTAATAAATATATTAGCAACACCGTTCCTTTATACTAAAGTAGTAAGGAGTTTCTATAAAGGGCAAAGAGCGGCGGTAATTATTAAGGCAGAACATCTATACTAGGATAATAGAACTAATAATACTTAGAGTAGTAGAACTTTTATAAAAGTAAGATTTTTTAGCTACTTTAGCTACTTTAAAAGATAAAGTTACTATATAAAAGTTTATAACATTAACTTTTAGCTTTTTTCAACTATTAATAGTATAAACAGAGTACTAAAAAGTAAAAAAATATAGTAAACTACTATAATAGTAGTCTATAAAAACTAATTACTAAAAAAACTAAAGTTTAATAAGCTAAAAAAAAATAAAATACTAGGTTTTAAAAGCCTAATATGGTTCACGGTCGAGTACCATACACGGTCGAGCACCATACACGGTCGAGCATCACACTTTTACTGACCTACCAACTTTAAATAGTGATATCTCTATGAGAACACGATTAAATAAATTTCTACGACTCAGAATCCGATGAAGAATTGATATCTACAGCCTCTGGGCAGGTCCTTGCATTATGGCCGGACTTGCGACAGATGCCACATATGTGCACACCTGTTTTGCGCCGCTTCAATAAACCTAGCTCCGCACCCTTATTCTCTACTTCCTGCTTAGCAATACCCTTTTGAACCAAAAGTTGGCTGGCTTCCTGTCGGATTTGATGGTATCTGAAGATGTCACGGTGATAGAAAGATTGATTGAAGATGGGTTGACTGATTGTATTCAGGTGTGTGCCTGTGTGGGTGAGGCTGAGGCCTGACACCGGTTTTGATGTTCCTTCTCTGGGCACCAAGGCTGTGCAGGGCACTAGCCACTGCAAAATCACTAGCCACATGTCCTCAGACAGTACCGGTACAGATAGTTTCTCCCAGTCCTCCTCTCTAGTCCCAGATGGGATATCTATAAACTGGCTTACCATCTAACACCAGGAGAGAGACTTGCTGTGGACTTTCATGACTATGAGGAAGGAAGCATCACCAAGGAGAAGAGTCAAATGCTGGTCACTTGCAGGAACTCAAGATACTCATGGGACTTCTACTTCAAGGACAACAGGCCAGCCAAGTCAATCATCAAGCAGCTAGGAATCCTCATCTCATTCCTCAAGAAGCAATTCAACATCACAGTCAAGGTCATTGAGACAGACAATGAGATAGTCACAGTTAAGCAAGAAGTATACCGGTGGCTATTAGGACTGGGAATCAAGGTTGAACCATCTGCCCCAGATACACAGGCCCAGAATGGAGGAGCAGAGAGAGCAGAGGGATCAGTGAAAGAAAAGTCAAGAGCAATCAGGTTGGATGCCAATCTACCCTTCAACCTTTGGCCAGAGATAGTCAGAGCAGCTGTCTATCTCCTTAACAGGACCCCACTCTACTCCAATGGATGGAAAACCCCATATGAGAAGTTCTTCATACCAGTGGCTCTCCAACATGGAATCCTAACTCTGTCCAGGAAGCCAGACCTCTCTCATCTCAAGGCCTATAGATGCAAGGCATTTGCTCTCTCTGATGATACTCACAGAGGAAAGTCAAGACTGCAGAGGCTGGATCCCAAGTCATGGATTGGATACTTGGTTGGATACCAGTCCTCCAATATCTTCAAGATCTGGATACCAACTCTGGGAAAGGTCATCAGTACCAGAGATGTTGTGTTTGATGAGCACACTGTGTTCAATGGCAAGGAGGAAGAAATCATAGATAACCTTATGCACAGCACCACTGAGAAGATTGCTAGATGGGTGAAGAATGTAGAACTTCCATCTCCTCTATCAGGTGAACAAGAGACCCAGTCATTCTATGAGGATGAGACCATTGAAGATGCTCCTCAGGACAACCAAGAAGGACCAGACCAACCAGGGTACCACCAAGGAAGAAAGATCATAGGTCCTTATCCTACTCCACCTGATACACTACCACTCATGACACTCTTGGCCCAACTTCTCTCAGGACCTGATGAACAACATCTATCACTCTAGGACACTGGCACAGCTAAAACAGTACTGTGGCGTGCTGCATTTATGGCTAGAACACAAGCAGGTAATGTTGGATCCCATGAAGGGAAGCCAATTAATAAGGCACACTTGAAGAGGTTGCTAGCTCAGAGGGTGAAACCATACAGGAATCAACTACCACCTCCACCCAAGCACCATTGGCAACTCAAGGACCATGAGCTCAGGGAACAGTTTGAGGAAGCAGAAAGAGCACATCTCAGATCCCATGTTCTCATACAATCCTGGACTGAAGTCTCAAACAAGGGAGTAAAGGATGCTGGTCATCAAATCCTGGACTGCATGTAGGTATATGTCTACAAATTTGACAAGCACCATAGACTGGACAAATGCAAGGCCCGTCTGGTTGTAAGAGGAGATCAACAAAGGAACATCACTTCCCAAGACACATATGCTGCAACTTTGGCAGGAAGATCCTTTAGGATGATGATGGCCATTGCAGCACACTTTGACCTGGAACTCAAACAATATGATGTTACCAATGCCTTTGTACATGCATCCATGGACAGAGAAGTCTATATGCAAATGCTCCCAGGATATTGTCAGATTTGATAGTATCTGAAGATGTCACGGTGACAGAAAGATTGATTGAAGATGGGTT